GAATAGAAAATAATTTAAAAAAGGCTCCTCTGAGTACATTTGCTGCAAGTGCACAATGCGAGAAGGGCGATTAGAACCCGCAAAAATTGACAAATGTTCACAAATTTTCAACTCCGCCCCCTTCGCGTCTTTGTATTGACTTTGTATGTAAACTCACCGCCCCGAAGGCTCGCTTTGAGTTAATCCCTTGTGACCGTTGGAGTCATCAACAATTGCGTTCTTGAAGAACGGTAGCATTTTTCGACATGGCAGCATAGATCGTCAGAACACCGGCCACAAACTAGCCTACTCCACCTCTATACCACCGCTGAGTAGGCTACAATAATCACCGCTGTCCAGTTGTGGCCAGTTTTCTTTGTTTTTCCTAGGCTCCTCTGTTGATACTTTTGTTGTGTAATTTTATCTAATTATATATTTTACTTTATTTTGTCCTAGATATGCCATATTTTAACCTACAAGTGCCCCTACCCTTTTTAGTAGGATTAGTATTGAAGGTTGAGTGTTGATCATTATACAACTTGGTAATCACTAGAAGATTGAGTGCCTGACTACTTAAGTTTGGTGTTTAACTGCTGTTTAACTTTTGACTTGATTTAATGTAGTTTAATCACTGATTTAAGGTTTAATCTGCCATGCAGGAGGGGATGCCTTCCTGTGTGGCATGCATGTGTGAGTCAATCCGATAGGAAGGTGGGGCCACCGGAGAGGATGAGCTGATTCCCATCTAGCCGGGCGATCCAGGCCAGATTGTGAGAGAGCTTCACACACAATCAGAGGGGGTTGGGGTATCTCCTGTGTGTGGTTGAGGGGTCCGCACGAGGCAGCGTTGTCGCTCTCGTGGGCCCATGGCAATGCCGCTCCCCTATTAAGTAGGGGAGGCAGGGGCAGACACAGTCCCTGGGGGTTCTCTGCACTGAGTTGGGATGCCACACCCTTATGGGCTCATTACCGTGCCGCTCCCCTGTTGAGGCGTGGGAGGCTGTGGCAGACAATGTTGCTGGGTGATCCACACGAGGTGGCATAGCCACACTCGTGGGCTCATCGCCGCGCCGCTCGACCGGCAAGGGAAGAGGGAGGGGGAAGACAGTGATGCTGGACATGTGGGCTCAGGCCAGTCACCTGACCGTGTCAGGGAGGGGGGCAAAGGGAGAAAGAATGTGCAGCATTGCTTACCACAAATGTGCCTGTTCATAATTACATGTGTGTTGTTGTCTGTTCTCATCTCAGGGCGTCAAATACTGAGGCTTTCAGAAAGGCTGACAAAGCATTATTTGATGCAAAAGGTACCCTTCAGCGTCCGTAAGAGATGCCCCCGGGCGCATCTGTATGAGACACCCTGCCTAGACCAGAAGTGCTAATAGCTAGCTAGGTAGCTAGGAGTAAACCCAATAGCGATAGCTTTAGAGAAGCCTATACGAATTAGAACACATTGGATGTATGTCTGTCTATGTGCATACGCATACGCTACTAGTGTACCCCTGCGGTAAAGTGTCACTTTTGTTCTCTGAGGTTAAACTGTAATTTCTTGCAGTATCTGCTCAGTGTTGACAGATAGAATATTCTTTGGCAGCAGACCTTACTGTCTATCCCTGCCTTGCCTCATCTGATGTGTTTAGTTGTCATTGCGGGGTTAGTTGTCTCACTTTTAAAAAAGCTGTTACAACTGTCCCCACCCAACAGACAAAGCATTAGAGGAAAATCCAGTCTTTACTTGGTCTAACTTAAAGCTTACAGTACAGTGAGCAACAAAGTGGCAGGCAGGTAATGCAAACAAAGGGTATTGCGGCTTCTAAGCTGAATGGCAACAGGTTCAAAAAAGCTGTCTGCTGGGAAAAAATGCCCATTAACTGCACTCACATCTCGCTCTCACTCACAGTGTGACATGAGAGGAGACACTGACAGAAGTAGTGTGTGCTGCTCACCTGACAGCATGAAAGACCTTTTCTAATATGGGAACTCAAAGACCGGTACCTTCACAGGTAGCTGCTGTCAGGTGTTGTGCTTTTGCTTCCACTGTTTAGGGACGTGTTCCTGAAACTACATTTTGGAAATAACCCTTTTCATGATGAGCCAGGGATTAACAAACTGGGGCAGGTCGGTGATGGAGGGCTGATACAAACCTGCATGCTGGCTCCATCTTGAGTCCCTTCTGGAATATGGTTGCTTATCAGAGAGCGAACACTCATAACCTTGCCGAAATCCTCTTTCCTTTTCACCCATTTACCATCCTGTTTTGATGTGGTTCCTAATGAAGAGCAGCGGGGCTCGGCTGTCTGATAGCATAGCCATGACCCTACTGCGCACCAAAAATGGAATATGGAAATTTAACAAAAGAACACACATGATGCATAAAGCATGACAGAGCATCTAAACAGGCGTGGTATTAAGTGTAACAACACAGAAGGGAAATCCTTCAGTCATTATTTTCACCACACTGAGTTCACTGTCTAATTTGTGATGTAGGGGAGACCGGGTATGGTTGTAACACTTTTTGCTTCAGCAACTATAACTCTCTGGATTTTGTAGCTAGAGTTCTCAAATTTTTATACAAAGTATCCACATTTGTTCACTACAAATGGCACCAATTCAATCATCTACAAGAATATCACAGACCTTGTGAGTTGATGTCAAATGCAATGTGTTCCCTTGTTACAACCTACCCCAATAGCGGGGTAGGTTGTAACACATGCTGGGGTAGGTTGTAACAATCACACAAAAGAATCAAAAATAGATGCCACACTACATGATATGCTTCCAAAACAGGTAGTTATATAAAAGAACAATGTTTCTCTCTTGCTGTAACGGACTTTGTCTGATGACTCACGTGCATGTACAGTATGCGTTTGTAAATTTATCTATAGAATAAACTTACTTAAAAGTATACTTAATAAATACTATTACAATGTAATTAATTAAAGAACATCTCTGTACATCCTTAGGTCTAACTAAAAATAGGTGTGTGTGTGTGTGTGTGTGTGTGTGTGTGTGTGTGTTTGTGTGTGTCAATGTGTGTATATTCTTATTCTGAGTCACAGTCAGTGCTTGAAGTGGGCCGGTATTTACTGGTAAGTATACCAGCACTTCTATATTTTACTTTTTGGCGTACCGGGACTTTTTCTTGCGCACAGGCACTTCTCACAAGCTGCCCATTCGCTTTTCTACCCTCTCCACCGGTGGAGACCGAGTATGGAAAAGGTCAAGTGACGATACACACGCCAACGTGTGTACAACATGTGAATGGGAAGTACTGGTCGCAGTGCTGACAAATTAATGCTGGTAAACCTGGAGTGCGGGTTTGGTTGGCCCAGACTGCAAAGGGCACTCTGTAAAATATTAAAATCAAAGAAAGTCCCTAGTTTTATGTATAGAGGATGGTTGTTTTTGGTCACTTTTTAAAGAAGTGTTTACCCCACCCCACCCCTGTCAGACAATTTTTAGCTAGCTGTATTACCATAGTGGTTTGAAATTAGAAAGGAAAAAATGCATCACATGTTGCCTGGGAATCTATATTTCAATCTAATATAAGTCAAACAATTCTGCAATAGTATAGATACTAAACAAAAAATAGTCTTGGTCAAAAAATTTACCTTCTTACCTCAAAATCAGTTTTTTGTCTATATATTCTGAATGCACCTCTTTCCAGACTTGAAAACCACCATGCTTGATCTGGGAGGAAGTAAGTAAATACTGAAATGATCACCTAACTCCTATCTTATCTCTGTTTGGTGGAATTGGTGTTGTTACAACTCTCCCCATGTTACAGCCATACCCGGTCTCCCCTAGTTGTCATCTGCGTAAATAGGTTATACAGATGCAGGGGTGATTTGTACATATGGCCAACCTAAAGAATGCTTTTTTTGTATATACAGGGCCAGACATAAATCATTGATGTATTTGAAAACCATTCTTATTTGTTGTTTCAAGAGCCTAAAGTGCAGGTTGTGTAAATGCATTTTTAATCTGAGGTGTACAGGAGTAGGGACTGGAACCATTTGGAGAAATAACCAGATTTTTATATTCAAACATATCACACAAAAGCCTTGATTTAAAACGGGGGAATATGTTATGGGCTCAAAGCTAATATAATTGAGACTAGTATTAGTTTGCAGAAGACCATATTAGATCGAGGAGCGTTGGCCCCTGTGCATAGCTCCTGGAATACGATCCCTTCTGATTCCTTTTTGTAAATTAGACAATCAGACAATCATACTGCAGCCCGGGTTGTTTTATAACAAACATCTCCGGGATGAACGTCAGTAGGAATCCGTTATTTGGCTTCCTCGTAGCCTGCCAAAGCAGCGCCTTGCCGAGAACGCTGCGGTAATGCTGCATTCAAGGACGGTCGGAAATTGTAACGGCTACGTCGAACGTCCACCAAATGCCAAAAGGGAGAAATATGAACATTGAATTGTTTACCAGAATGTTAAGTTAATGGGTTTAATTAACGATACAGGGGATGTATCTTTGCTTGGCAATTCTTATATAATTAGGCCTAATATGTTTCCATTAAGCTATTCCTTTTCGGCTCTCACGCTTAATAAATTGAGAAAACACGTGATGAAAAATACTAAAATAGAGCAAGGCAACCAAACAGTGACGTATACATTTGCTCTCAGTGGTTCTTAGGTTATATTTAACAGTAGGTTCATCAACCTACTTTATTGACTTACAGAAATTATTAAATAGAAATGTAAGAGTGAATGGACCTGCACAAAAGAACATATGCTAGGCTATAATATAAACACAGCATTTTAGTTGTTAATTTGCAGATATCTCCGTTTATGTTTATTTTCCCAAATCACGTTTTTTGTGCACAAGGGAAATATCAGGCAAACTGGTGTTGGCTTATTCACGTTAACAATGGTGTTTAAAAGAAAAAAAAACTTCTACTATTGTGCTTTATTTTCCGTGTAGAACAAGTGTAGCGCATTGAAGTATAAACGACTTGGGTGGTGGGACTTGGGAACTTACGGGGAGCACGTGAAGGCAGCATGAGCCTGCCCCTCTGAGCAGCAGTCAGTTACATGTTTACTTGCTTTGTCAGCGGTGTCCCCGCAGCAGATAATCTCATGTACCTAACCTGCCGCTGATCAAATCCTTGGACTTTTATCTCAGAGCGACTTATCGCATCGTCAGGGCTCCTTATCAGCACTTTCCCACTCATTTCCTCAGCCTCTTGCGGACCTTGATCGGGGGCACATCGGGTACAGTTTTTTTTTTTTCTTAGCTAACAGGGAAAGATGACGTTAAAATCCAATAAAAACGAACCTGCTGTCATACTGGATCCTGTCAACAGCGTCCGGACAGCCCTCTCCGATCTGTACCTGGAGCAGCTCCTTCAAAACAAACCAAAGTCTGACAAGGTAGGGTGTCGTTTTTACCTTTTTTTTTGCCCGCGCCCCCTCTATATTTTGGTGTAACGTTAGCTTCCGGGTAAGCAAGAGATGGGGCGCATGATCGTTGTTTGTTCCTCGACAAGATCTCTAATAACAGAGCCAGTTATGTTTTCCTGATGCAACCTAACAGCAGCAGCACATTCAGATCTTTCTCCTCAAATCAGCAGGTCTGTGTTGGTAACCGCTGCATTGCTGGCTGACTCAGTAGACATTGCATTGGCAATTTCACTTCTGCGTCCTCCCTCCCCTAAACTACATATAGAAATCATCTGAGGAATTGGGGAAACAAGGCTATATCACATGTCAGGCGTCCTGTGTTTCTATGTGTGATCATTAGACAATGAGCCTGTAAACCTGTGGCACAGAGCTACACAAATGGTATTAAATGAACTGACTAGTCAGCTCAACATGTTCAACTGCGGCAGTAAAGTCTTCTTAATGTAACATCAGTAGGCCTATTTTCTGAAGCAATGTTGTGCAATATAGAAGAAAATGGATAGACAGGAAATAAAGTTAATGTTGGTCCACTTTTCAGCACTTAAGTGTGATGTTGCCTGGGCCACTGCTGCTGAGTGTGATCAGTCAGCTCTGGCTAGGCAGGTTGTTTACTACATCACAATGTACCAGGCTGATGTTTTTTCGGCGAAACTTGGTTTCACATAGACGCCGGATTATGTTGTTAAACCACTGACCTTTAAGCCGGACAGCACCTTACAGGACATGCGTGACCACAAAGTGCTTAAAACAGTTGCAGCTTAAATCCGCCAGGAACTCTAGGCCTCTATTTGGCAGCCAGTAATGCTGAGGGAGCTCTATGCGCTAAACCTCTTCTCTGAATTTGAAAAGTCAGCACTGAGCTACTCTGAAGGAAACGGGGAAGGGAGGAAACTTCTTTCCTGACATCAGCAGTTTGCAGTTCAATAGCCTCAAGTTACAGTCTTGCCGAAAGTTTCTTATGCTCAGTGCTGGTTTGTGGAATCAGTGTCTTTAAGTGAGATCATGTGATCCATTATTTCATAGTGCAGACTGCACAGTCTGTAGTGCTGGTCACATGACATATGGCTGGTTTGCAGTACAAAGAGTAGGCCCGTTGTGGTCTGCACATGTCCCAGCTCAGTACTGAGTTATGCTCCTCTGGACACTCCTCCAAATATTTCACATTTGCTGTGCACTAGCCCTACATGGACAATCAGTCATGCATTTAAACACAGGGACAAGTACATGGCTTGTTATTTCAGCCCCACTTTGCACTGTCACTCCCTCAGCCTTGTGATGAAACAGAATTCCAAATGTTAAGACCCAAATAAGTTTAGGCACGTCAGATGAGAGCTAGCATGAGGTGGAGGACTTAATGTCTTACTTCAGTACTGGTTTTCAACAGCCCCTCCAGCTATTTCTGTACAATCTAACCACATTCTTCCAGTCTGTGTGTTAAAAAAAGGTTGTAGTAGTGTACGGTTTGAGTTTGTCTGGCAGGTCCATTAACCACGCTGTTTGTCCCATGTCCCTAGAGACTACCCTTATCCCACAGGTGGAAATTATTAATAATGAAAATTTCTTGGATAATGGGCAAATCAGCATTAAATGAGCACATAAGACAGGTTATGTTATAATGCATTCAATACCATTGTACCATTGTGTACGGAGAAAAGCACAATAGGTATAGATTTGTATTAGATTGACTTTCTGAAAAGCATCTATCACACTGATCTATTCCAGATAAAGCCACACCCACCTTAAGATGAGATGAGCAAATGTCCAGAACAGGATGCACTCTCACTCAATGCCTTTTGCTTTCCACCTGGCTGCTTGTTTATCCTGTTGCATTTCCACACCCAAAACTGGCATTCAAGCTTTCTGGGGCTTCATGACCCCAGTTCCATTAACACGTGTTGACTGTTAAGAGTGACTGGAACACACTGCAACAAACCACAAACCTTTAAGTCATGTAGACATGTGTTTATTTCTTTTTAGGGATAAAAGCTGGCGGGGTTCACTGTTGAAATCATGATGAGACACATTTCATTAAAATTGGCGTTTAGCACCAATCCAAAGCTAAGCGCGCAAATGTTTGAGCATTTAGTGGTAAGGCACACTCCCTCTGTTAATGTTCTGTATGTCAAACATCTGTCAGTGTTCCTCAGAGAGCTCCAGCTGTTTTGTGTTAAAGCGCATTATCACAGCCCGTGTCAGTTTCCTCCCTGCTCAGTCCCAAGGGTCAGCACTTTGTTTAGAGGAAGTCTCCGGCTACGTGGCTTGAGGAGAACTGCTTGGTATTTGTGAATAGAGGTGTAACAGTTACTCCTGCCTGTAATGGGCCCACATAAAAGTTTCCTTAAATTTGGAAAAAAACAATAAATGTCATTATATGATCACCCAGCTTGTACAATATCTGGTGCTTTTATGCATTTCCATCAAGTTCATTTATACTAGTCATAAGATCACAAGCTGGCGGATTCACAAAATTAATTCCCTGGGAATGTGGAATAGAAGGAACAAGTAGGACAGCTTTGGATTTCAGAAAGAAATCAGTGTGTGGTGATTTTATCTGTAGCAAGATTGCCGCACAGACTCCTCAGAGGATGTAATTCCATCTGTTTACCATGGGAAACCATCCATATACTCTCTCCTGGCATAGTACAGTCCTGACATCTAAGAGCACAAGGCTGGTAAATAACTATCATGTTGCACAGAAAAACAGCTGACTTTCTGACTGACTCCTGCATTCAGTTGTTTCCTAACTCACAGTCTCAGTTTGTGTTACAGAAAAAGTAACTTCTTCTTCTTCTTCTTCTGGCCTCACCCAGACAACCACCGATGTCTTGAAATCATTTTACTGAGCATGGTTTACTACAAGTTTCAAAAATAACATGAACGCAGACATGCACATGTTAAAGATAATAATCTTAAGAACAAATCTTTTTAATTAAGAGGGCACACATGAAACTGCTAAGAGAAACATACAGTGTAAATTTCTGCCTGCGTTACACACCAAAATGCTGTTCTACAGTATTTTAGGGCTGAGGTTATAGAGGACGAGGAGGAGGAGGAGGGCGATAATGATATTTATTGGTTTATTGTAGTGCTGATGTTGTAAGACAGATAAAAAGATTTTGCTGAAGCAGTGCTGATGTGTCATTTTCATGCAGAAGGTTTCTGCTGACGTAATCGTGTCTCTGATGTCAGTTTAGTGACCAATTTATATACCTTGTGATATGTGCATTCATTGTTCTATAATATGCGTGCTGTCCACAGAATTACTCCTCCATAGTGTAGCTTATCTTGTACCTAATACATTTATTGAGAGTCCCCAATAATTGCAGTGTCTCTATTCATTATAGGAGATCTTTAGCTTTAAAAATATGTGGATCTCCTTTTCTGACGGTGACCTGAACCATCTAAGTGACATTATGGAAGTAGCATGGACATGATCTGGGGATAGGGATTCAAAAACTAGACTAGAAGATTTAGCTTCCTTACATTTATGTTCCTTATCACCTGATGAGACTGGTGGTATCCATGGCCACGGGAACTTGGTGAACCTGATCGATGGATGTGGTTAATGAGGTGTTATAACACTGGGTTAATTTTCAACCACGGAACATATGTTGAAACTGCAAATGAAACGTAGCTGTTGGCACACGTTGGCGAAAGGCTTTCACCTCACTTATTGGGTGATAAAGATCTGTCCAGATTGGTCCAGAACTCACTGCACATCTTCAGAACAATACATTCAACTAATCACATAAAGCAAGGTTTAAACTTCATTATGAGCGAAGTTGATTTCATTTTGTGTGAGATAAAACATCAAGTGTTATTTCTTTTGTTTTATTTTATTTTTCATTCTAACAGGTGGCTATGCAGATCTATGAGAATCAGGGGGCTGAGGTTTACGCCAATGGTAGTGCTGGACACATGAATGGAACAGAAGTAACCAAGATGAAAGAAGTAGCATTTGAAAAGAATCCTTCAGAGCCAATGGTATACCATCTGTTTCTACACACACACGCACACAAACAGTTTTTATATTTTTATATTTGTGTTGCTGATTCATCCTCATTGACTGTGGTCTTTGTCCATAGGGGGTCACTCTGAAGCTGAACGACAAACAAAGGTGCACTGTGGCCAGAATATTGCACGGCGGCATGATCCACAGACAAGGTAATTTATCACACATTGATTTGAGGGTTAGTGGGGAGTGTTCTGGCTGACCTGGCGTGTGTTGGAAAGAAAGTTTTCTACACAGAAGCTCAATAGTTTGTCCCAGTCAAATCTGTCTTAGCATTAGCTGTCTGTGTGTACTGAAGGAGGTCTACCTCATGTCCTGATCAGTGCCCACAGGATAAGAGCATCAGCAAAATGTCTGACATGTATTTCAGTTGGTACAACAGATCATGTACATACTGTATCTCTCCGGCCATATGCACGATGAGCTGTAAAATTAGACTTGAACTATTAAAGTTAGAATATTTCAAACATATTTGACATTGACAGAGTTCTCAGTGTCTACATCACATTTTTTTTGTTTTTAAGGCTTTTCATGGGTTTAGCTTATCTCTCAGAAGAATACATATTACGCCAGTAGCTGCAACCACATTTTAGGACTGTATTAACTGTGACACCGAAACTGAGCTGGAACACAGAAGAGTTACTACTCTTCTCCTGGTTCTTCTCACTTCCAGGATCCTTACATGAAGGCGACGAAATAGCAGAAATCAATGGGAAAAGCGTGACAAACCAATCTGTAGATCAGCTACAAAAGATCCTGGTAAGTTGATACCTTCTAACATTGCCTCTAAAGTGAATGCAAACCTCATCATATCATTTCAGCACAACTAAAAAAAAAAAAACCCAATGTCCTCTTTACATACAGAAAGAAACCAATGGAGTAGTCACAATGAAGATCATTCCCAGCCTGCAGGGCCGATCTCGAGCCTGTGAGGTAATAACATGACTAGAGGAATGTGCACTTAGCTTTGGTCTTGTCAGGCCTATTGCTTTTGTTGCGGGTGGTTTTTGTGTTTCATGTTTGTTCACTCCAAACTCCTTTTAAATTCACATGAGTAAATTATGTGTAAATTTGCTTTACATTCAGATCCAATGGTAACCTCTAGTGGCACAATCTACAAACATGGGCTTGGTTGCATTTCTTTCAGTATTTCCCTCTACACTTACTAAAAATGATTTTGTTGTTTATTAGGTGAATCTTCTGTTAGCAATGAAACAACCCAGGGACTATAATATTAGTTTAAATT